TATTTAATATTGCAATGCATTCCATATTCAGAACTATGACAGACAGACCTCCCTGGGGGACGGATGGTCTTTTACTGAATTCATTGTGCTAATTATGAATATAGGCATGAGCTATTTTACTTTCTGAAATGGAAGTCAGAATTTCCGAAAATAGCGTGTTTTGTTCTGTTTACTTAGTTCACTTTATTCAAGAAATAACTAACTTGGTTCCAAGAAGGCCATCATGTGTAATTAATGGAATGTCGGCATGTTGTAAAAGGGAATAATTTTATTGCATAGCTAAAACATTCTAGTGGGTTCTTAGGAGAACAGTTATGTTCATTTTTTTTAAACAGCTTCAAGAAGAATCACAGATTTTCAGTGTGAATATTCAGCCATCATAAAGGCAGCGCAGAGTGCTCAGGATGGTGTGTAGGGGTTGGTTATCGGCTCAGCGTGTCAGGTCGCTGTGCCTGGGTTTGGAAGGTTACTGGTTCCAGTCCCCTGCTCAGCAGAGTGATTCTGCTACTGGGCCCTTAATCCCTAATTGTTCCTGGGCTTGTCAGACCTTCTTCTGAAAAAACTATCTGCTAAAAGATAAAAGCATCGGCTAAATCAATAAAATGTAAATGTAGATGGGCAATGAAGGAGCTGAAACAAAGCTAGTTTATTCAACTCTACTTCATGAAGGATTCTGAAGGTGAAGAAGCAGCAGAGTCTGACAGGGCACAGGGAAGTAGATGAGACCACTTCTTTGGCATGGATATTAAGTAAAGGGAATGAGTATTCCGGAAGCAGAGTCAGCACTTGACAGGATTTTAGCACTTTAGCTATGTGAATGTGAGGCATTATGAAGACAGGGTAGAGAATATCCTAGCACTACTAAGCAACAGTGACCGTCAAGAGAAGCTTACATTATTGGGTTTAAATGTATTTAGAAACTTTCAATTAATTAATTTCAGCATCGGGTTCGTGGCTGGAAATGGGCAGTAATCTACTGGGAATAGATTGTGCATTTCGTGTGAAGCTCGTTTGCGAAATAAATAAATAAGTCACACGGTTTTTCCCGGTTTGCTGGCTGCTTGGCTCAGCTCGCGACGCAAAATGGAGCCGTGCCATCTAACGGCTGGGAAGCAGCAGCGGTGGAATAAATTGCCGTGTTACGCGGAGGAAGGGCATGTTTAAATAGGTCAGGCGGCGGCCGCCCTACCGCTGCTTTATAATTGTTTGCGCTGGTTTGCCGACTTGCCGGGTGCCTGCATAGGACTTCTAATCGGTACCTGGCTCTCCTCTACGTTGTCATGGACTTACAGTAAATGGAAAAGTGGATGTCAATTACCTGGTACAAGTGACTGTAATTTGGTTCAGGTGTGATGGAACCAAATGTATATGTAGTGTAAGGCACAAACAGTGCTTACTTAATTCATTAATAATATGTCAAATTTATTGGTTTTATAACAAAAATAATTACTTAAGTCACTTATTTACAATATATACTGTATCATTAGAAATGACCAGTAGTTTCAAGCAGTAAAAAACTGAAACCCAAATTATAGTTAAAAGAGCTGTTCTGAGTTAAAAAGTTAATTGACAAGCAATCTCATTGGGTGCTTATTAATTAGTAACACCTTTGCAATAATGTAAAACACTGGACATCTGTGTTCAGTATCCCTTTGGGAGCCAGTGACTACAATTGCAATTAATAGCAAACTGAGAAGAAGAGAACTGAAGTCAGTCTTTTTTGAGTCAGTCAAAAAATTATGACAATAAAAAGTGTGGCAGATATGTGCAGATATTTTAAACATTGCTTGTCAAAGGACTGTTGTTATGAAACCAATAAATTTGCAACATTTTTACAGAACTAAGCAAGTATCCCAAGACTTTCTGTGAGCACTGTATGTGATGTGGAGAGGCATGGAGACCCCAGGGTGGGGCCGACTCAGGTGACGAGCCCATCCAATCAGGTGATGAGCCCATCCAGTCAGGTGACAAGACAATCCAATCAGGTGACAAGCCTAACCAACCAGAAGCCGAGACCATCCAATTACCTCTGCCATGTTATGAGGGATATAAACTGGATTTTTTTTTCTTGGATCCAGCTCACGCGGCTACTTGTAATAATCTGCCCAAAGGTGCAGTGCTCCTTCTTTCTGGTGCAAATCGCCATGCCAAAGCTGAAAAAACCTTTTTCATTTTTTTCTTGATCCCTCTCCTCCATTTTGTTAAGCTTGTAGCCCGATTCCATCCTCCCATCCAAACGTCAGATGATTCTGCTCTCCATCCCAAGCGGAGCAACCATACCACAAAAGTCATATTATATTTAGCTTAGTGCTTAGCGCTCTCGGTCTCCCTTCCAAAATGTGGCAAAAGATTTTTTTTTTCGCCTTGTTATATTTCCTGCTCATTCTCTGCATTTCTCACATGTGTACCAGCTAAACCCACTGGGGAAAATATATAAATCTGCCAACATAATTTCTTTCCTGGAATGTAAATGGTTTAAATTCTGTCTGTAATTTTTAGTTTAGTGAGTAATTCAAATTTAAACTGTTAAGTGAAACATATTTATCTAAAATATATTTTAAAAATATTATATGACATACGAGGGCTAAAAATTTGTGGCACAGGTTTGCTACATATGTTGGCTTCAAATAGTCATCCAGTAAGATATTTGTTTTTCAGTCGACCAGCTGTAAACTATAAATCATCCATTAGTTAAGGAAACATTTGCCTAGCATTTCAGTGAGTAAGGATAGTTTGAGATTACAGATACTCATCAATACTCTAAGCATGGTCACAGCAGTCCCTGATGAACAAAAATATGAACAGTCCATATGAACAAAAATAATTCAGGTGTAAATCAGATGAATGTTATCCATATCTAGGCTAAGCTGAAACGGTGTTTCAGGAGTTGAATGAAGTGTGTCAGGACAGCAGTTGGCAATGTCCATTGGTGGGTTTTAGGATAAAGTATTGGACATTGGCATTGACTGAATGTTATTGATTGTAAATATGGAACGAGAGAGAAAATCAAGGAATGCCATAAAGAGCCAACATAAAATTTAAGCAGAGCACAAGTGCTTTATAGTCAAAGTGAGAATATCTCCGCTTCCTTCTACAAATTTTTTTAAACAGGAAATGAAAAGGAAAAGTCAAATATGTGTCAGAGAGCTGTAAAAGGGGTGGAGAGGGAGAAGGCATCTACAGCTGGTAACCAAGGTAACTGTGACATGAAATGAGAAGGAAATGTATTGATATGCCCCATCACATGGCACTTCTGAAATGCCAGACTATCAGTACAGCTAATGATATTTTAGAAAGCCTGATTATTGAATTATGTTGTGCAAAATATTTTTTCGACTTGAGTTTTTCCTGCCCCCTCTTGATTCCTGAGTGGCAAAAATACACATAAACTTGTAGTAAGAACAGTTTTCCAACCCAATATGCCCAAGCAAGGTGCTGTTTTGTTTGGATCACTAGAGATTTGACTTAAAGGCCTTTTCCAGCCAGAATCCTTTCTTTCATTGGAAAAGCAGCATGTTGGAAACTGTTTTCATCCTTTGTGTGAGAGTTGACTTGCTTTCAGGTTTTGGGTTTAGCAGCAGAGGGAAGAGAGGACAGAGGAAATGCAAAATAAAGCTCTATTGCTTTTCTCTTTCAGATGTACGGCCGGCCTAATTCTTCCTCACACCTCACACTCACCCACGAGACTCACTTATTCACAACTCCGTGCTGTGCTTTGATATCAGCTCATTAAATCAAACCTGCAAAACCTTTCATGGCAATAGCATCTGATAGTTTACGCTCAAATTATATTTTATTTACTGTCGATTGAAATAATTAATAGGTTATTACGGACATTTGTAGTTGGAATGATTTTGTCGCCTTCAAATTCGGCTGGTAGGCCTGACATGCTGTAGTTAAACACTGTGCCTAAAAATGCATCTGTCAGCTAGTCTCTGCACACCCAACAAATAACAGATAAAGACAACCACATTGTGCTTAATTCTAGACTAATTCAGTAGCAATTACAACAGTTCAGCACAGCCGTGACTTAATTTCCCTCCTCTGTCGTTCACGCAGGAGCCATAACCAGAGCATCTTGCCTTTTAGTTGGCAGCTCTTGGAAAAAGCAGACTTAAAAAGACTGTATGATGGCTGAATTCCATCTTGATCACACGATTCCCCAGCGTAACACAATCTCCTGGGAAGAAGAAGCAGTGCAGCAAACTTCCGTTTAAAGCTGAACAGATGGAATTTAGTAGGAAGTCTCAGCAAATGCGACTGCTTTAGTGAAGTGGGGATTCATTTGTACCCAGGATGTTCATTTGGAACTTTTGTTGTTTTTATTAATTATGTGTCCCTCCAAAATGCTGGAGTATATTCATTAGGAAATGTATTTATAGTCCCTTGTACATGATATAAAAAGGATATATAAAATTAGCTTTTCTTCATAAATAGTCGCCTGGTGCACTGTTAGACGATGGTCTTATTTCAAGTGTCAGGAGATGTGGATTGATTTCCAATGCAGAGTGTTACTGATGCCAAAGTATTGTGATCAGCTGCTTCTTAAAGGGGCTCTTGTTCTGCATTCTGCCGCTGGTAAGCTGACTTACACTCCCGGCACGCTTGTCTTGCGTTACCTTCTCGGGGGCTCTGTAATCAGGCTGATTAATGGGAGACCGTGCCGAGCACCGCGTGATGCGTCTCGCAGTCGGCGGGCGCTTTCTAGGCCGGAGTTGCAAAGTCGCAGTCGCCGAGGCCAGACTGAAAGAGACAGGAAGACCACAGCAGGCTGAGTGGCCTCGTCCACAGTGTGCCACACGCCTTGCCAGTTCGGACAGCCTGTTTGCTCAGCACTAGCATGTACAGAGTGAAAATGCAGTTCCTTGGGTTTCATACAGCACCCTGGGGGTGAAACCTCTGACCCATATTTTGTAGAAATTGAGGAGCTCAAAGGATAAGCCATGTTGGTTTGCACTTCCCCTGCTCACTCTGTCCCTTTCTCTTTCTCTGTCTCCCAGTGGGTGGCGTTTGCGTCGCTGTTCTTCATCCTGGTGTCCATCACCACGTTCTGCCTGGAGACGCACGAGGCCTTCAACCCCATCACCAATCGCACGGAATGGGTGAAGGTGGACAACATCACGACGGAGCACGTGTACCAGGAGACCGAGACTGTGGTCTACCTCACCTACATCGAGGGCGTGTGCGTAGTGTGGTTCACATTCGAGTTCCTCATCCGCATCACCTTCTGTCCAGACAAGCTGGAGTTTGTCCGGAACAGCCTCAATATTATCGACTTTGTGGCGATTCTGCCTTTCTACCTAGAGGTGGGGCTGAGTGGTCTGTCTTCCAAAGCAGCCAAGGATGTATTGGGCTTCCTGAGGGTGGTCCGCTTCGTGCGGATCCTGCGAATCTTCAAGCTGACCCGCCATTTCGTGGGTCTTCGGGTCCTGGGCCACACGCTGCGGGCCAGTACCAACGAGTTCCTGCTGCTCATCATCTTCCTGGCTCTAGGAGTGCTGATCTTTGCCACCATGATCTACTACGCTGAGCGCATTGGTGCCAAGCCCAACGACCCGAGGGCCAGTGAACATACGCACTTCAAGAACATTCCAATTGGGTTTTGGTGGGCCGTGGTGACCATGACCACCCTGGGGTATGGTGATATGTACCCCCAGACGTGGTCTGGCATGCTGGTGGGGGCCCTGTGTGCCCTGGCTGGGGTGTTGACCATCGCCATGCCTGTTCCCGTCATCGTCAACAACTTCGGAATGTACTACTCCTTGGCAATGGCTAAGCAGAAGTTACCAAAGAAAAAGAACAAGCATATTCCCAGACCGCCGCAGCTCGGCTCGCCTAACTTCTGTAAGTCAGGTGTAAATTCACCCCATCACAGCACTCAGAGTGACACCTGTCCCCTGGCACAAGAAGAGATTATAGAAAGGAACAGAGCAGGTAGGAACCTTCTCGGAGGCATGATCAAAATACAGGAATATAGAAAGACAACCCACCCTCCATTTGTTCTCCCTTAATTTCCATCTTACTGCTAATCTGAACATCACAGAAGGTTCCCTTCTAACATGCCATTATACTCCAAAGACAACCGTCACAAAACTTCCATCACCCTTTAACGTCAGTTTTTTCTCACTAGGTCTCTAAACTCCTACCTGTACTTAAGCCTCATGTATCATTCGTCCTACCACTTTCACACACTCTCCCAGCCTCTTCTCCTTTGGTTTTTGTCCATATCTCCTCCATCTAGCCCTGAACCTCCTCTTTTCACTCCTGATGCCCCTAACTCCTCCAACATGTGACTTCTTCTCAGTGCTTAATGGATAAATGCAGTAGCACATTCATTCATTAGCTGCTAAAATCACTCTCAGTTCTGTCAGCTCTATTTAATTGCTATTTCCTGCCACCTCAGTCAAGAACTGGTCATTCTACTCTTTTGCCCTTGTAGATATTACTGCCATTTCTGTTGCAGTTTTTTTTTCTGTTTGGGTCTGCTGGGTTGTGAGAGACACAGATCAATGGTTTGAGAAGAATGAGGAATTGGAGTCTGTGTTAAAGGAAATGGATTCTTTGTACTGCAGGTTGAAATTCCTTAGCATGTTCTGAGACAGGACAACAAATCAGGGCCACAACAAACATACAACAGTTGTCAGGCAAGTGTTTATCTGGATGCCTTAATAGGGCCTGAAGCATCAGTGCTTATTTTGATCAACAAAGCACAGGTAATGCTGGGTGATTTCAGCAGAGAGAGCAAACACAACCCTATCATACAGATTTTATTACAGGTTTCCTGTTTTAAGATGTTTGGGAGGATAGGAGAAGAGCGACTCATAAGATGGGATGTAGGGGGCTAACATACCAATGCATGCAGACAGGGAATGAGGATCTGGGGGGTCAAATGAAATCTCCCTGATTCATTATGCTTTATTTGCTATTTTCACAAGTCTAAGTACAGGTGCATTGTCCATTTTTTCACGTATCCCATCTTGCTCTTCTTATGGCACTTTTACATCGGCATACCGGGTCTGAGGCACAGCCAAACCATACCGCGAAGAGAGACTAGTTACAGCGCGGTTCCAGCGCGGTTCCAGCTCACTTCGGTTTTCCACTGCAGAAGGGTCGGCTCGGTAAATGCGTTGCCAGGTTTGGAGAGTCACATTGACGTAAAACCGAAGAGACGCTTCTTTACTGTTCACATGGTGTACATCATGATTTACTGCTATTATGATTAAGTGCTAGTTCCCGCTCGAATTGTCTGTGAGATTCTCTGTGTTATGTTGTGCAATTAGCATTTGCTTGCGTAAATTTATATTGCAGATCCATTCAGTTCAGCTTTCTATAGTGCTATTTTCAGTAGGTGGTTGGAAATTTTCATGTTCCAGGTTATCGGGAATGCATCAATATATCACGATGTGTGATACCTCTAATAATGAATAATATACAGAATATACCCTTTTCCCCCTTCAGATAATCCATGCTTATTGATGCAGAACACCGGTATCTCTGTGCATTTCACAACCAATCAGATGGTGGTAATGCAACCAGCTCGGTTTAGTCGCGCTTTCAGCCCCGCTAGTAAGCAGCGCCATGTCAGCGCGGGTACGACTCGCATAATTTTCAATAGAAAACCATCTCTTCATGGTACGGCTTGGTTCTTGGTGGTGGCTGAAAGGTGCCAATGCACTCACACATATTTACAATTAATAGTGAGGGTGGGGTCAGGCCATTTATTCAGCACCCTTGGAGCATTTAACCGTGAATGAATATCATTCAAATGGGATGATCAAAATCTATAGCGTGGTATCCTTGTTTTTTTCTACAAACTGAAAATCAAAAGTGGAAGCAGGTACTGTAAAGTCCCTCTCTTTTAATGTAAATATTAAAAGTCTGAGATGCTGCTTTTTAACAAGTCAGTTTAAAGAGACAATCAAGATTTTATTACAGTATTAGCCTGTGAAATTTGAACACTTACTGCTAAATTTCAAAGCTAATACCTTTTATTCCCACTAAATATGCAGTAAATATCGAAACAGAATCGTGCCACAGTCACCTCGCGCCTGCAGGGCTCTCGCTCAAGGTGTAGAGACTAATTTTTGTTGCCATATGCAGGTCATCACCTGTTGACTTTGCAATTCTTGTGTGAAATTCTCCTTTAAGAAGTAGTGACCGAGGAAAACGAAAGCGTGTCTGTGGCAGCGGCGGGACACCGTGTTGTTGGCAGCAGGGAGCGTGGCGCGTCCAGCAGGGAGGGCATGTGTAATGCTGGCGAGGCAGTGCAGTCGCTCCCTTTCGGTGTTCGAGGGGCCGAGCTGTGCTCCGCCTCATCGGTTTCGCACGCAAGGACCAGCCAGGCTGTGAAAGCTCAGACTCCATGGCCAGACCGTCACAGGCCACAGCTGAGACAGACAGTAAACCGCAAAGGAAACCCACAAACAGACTCTGTTCCATTAGGCTACCTTTCTGTGCTACTCTGACTCCAGCAACTTTGTGGCTGTGGCATGGTTACGCAACTGTCTGCACTTCTACTCCCTGGATAATACTCCATTAGCATTTGTGTCTGAAGCACAGACAAGACTAATAGGGCTGATCTCAGGACTGTGAGCGCATTGCTTGGGGTGCTAGACTGTGAGCTTCTGTGACTTATTTTTCACCATTGCAAAGATGCAGGGTAGATGTAGTGAGTACAGTACCTGCAACTGTGATGCCAGCCAGCCTGCCTGGCGAGAGGCCAAGGAGCCGAGGCAGCTGGGTCAGCTACTGGGACGAGGCGCGTGAAATTATACAGACGGCAGATTTGAGACTTTGGAAACTGTGCAGAAAGCCCATATGGGAGACATGCATGCATTTTGCAGGAGTTTTTGACAGGTCTCAGATATGTGACATAACACCATGTGCCAATAATGTATTATAACATTTCCAAAGCTCTCCATTGTGCTCTCAGTTGCAGGGTGGTAGTTAATCCCTTGTACCGGTTGCCTGTACTCAAGCAGCATCATATGACCCTAATAATGAGATTCTCTCTGTAGTGCCTAAAGATGGTCCACCTAGGAGGAGCTCCAAGCAAGAACCTGAAATGTTCTGGTGATGAGACCGTATAAGATTAAAATGCCATCTTTATTATCCACAAACAGATAACCTGAATGAACAGAAGCTTCATTTATATTTAATTAGTACAGCATAGCCTGTACTGAATAAATAGTATGGATGGACAGATGGATGGACGGATGGATAGATGGATGGATGGCACAATATAAAAATCAGTAGAAAGAAGTTACCTACAGAAACATTAAGAATTTAAAGGAAATGAAATGTCAGATTCTGTACATTTTAACAATGTTTTTTTGCTGATTTAAATGTCAGAAGCTACATGTAACTACTGTTCTCTTGTATGCATGCGATGCAAGGACACTTATTTTACATATTTAAGATTTGTTGGAACAATAGACATAATCTTTAAATTTGAGGTTCTGTAATCTTGTTGTAGCTGAATCAATTCAGCATCAGCACTAACCCACACAAACACACACATGCATAAAGAGAGTCTTGGAGCCTATTCAGTGTATTTATCTTGACAGCACCTTATACAGTGTGATTCTCTGAGGCAGTCAGCAATCTGCAATTGTTCTGTATGATTTACAGTTTGGATTCTGAGTGTTTAAAATGGCTCGGTCCCATATGCTGAGAAATGGCTCCCAGGGTAGACTGGATTAGCTCCATTCAATCAAAATCCAGCTATTCAGTTACTATGGTGAATCAGTTACTGAACAGAAGAATATAAAACTCTTTAATTAAGCAAAAATTCCAATGCTGGGGAAAGTCTTGGTGTAAGCAATAGTGATGGCTGCAATCTAAAATGATATACAGTGGTACCTCGGTTCTCGAACTTAATCTGTTCCGGACTCCGGATCGAATCCTAAAAAGTTTGAGTTCTGATCGAATTTTTCCCACAAAAAATAATGGAAAACCAATTAATTGGTTCCCAGCCCCCCAAAATTACACCTAAATATGTTTTTTTTTTTTTTTTTAGCATTTAAACACAAAATGAACAGGATAAGACAAGAAGAGCATTTTTTCTTAATGGCTTCCAAAACGATAAAGATCTTATCCCAACATTACTCCTGTCCTGCCCCGATCATCCGCTCCTTCCGTGTGCCACGCCCCCTTGTTAACCTCGTGTGGGATCCCCATGTGATCAACTGTTTCTGGTTGTTGTCATTAGTCCTCTGTATTAAGTTCGCGTTTCAGTTTGTTTCCCCAGTCCGGTCATAGGGTGCGTTCGACTTGCTTACAGCGCTGGCTTAAAGCAACGCATTCTGATCCTGACGCAATGCATTACGGTTAGATGCTTTGCGACCTCTCACCCGGCTGCACAAACTTGAACTGCCTCCGTGACGACACACCTTTGCCCTTATTGGCTGAAGAGTTTAGTTACACGCATTACGTTTGTATCCCTGGCAATTCTGATGCGTAATCTGCTATTTCTCCCGAATATCACGTAAAGCAGTGAGAACTGGTTTTCAGTTAATTTACCTGGTAAAATAAAGTTTAAATAAATGACATAAATGCTCTAATAGTACACGTAAGTTAGTGGTTTATTTATTGTTAGTTACTGTAATGTTGCGCTGCTTTATTTGGTTAATCGTCCAGTCTGTGAAGAAGGCATTCAAGTAAGAATTGCATTGTAGTATGACTCATTTCCTGGCGCGTACAATTTATATTAGGTCAGCGTTCACGGTTCGACTTCTGATATTCAGATCGAATTCTAGGTCAAACTGGTTTGTTCGACTTTCAAGAAATTCGAGTTCTAGTGAGTTCGAGAACCGAGGTACCACTGTAATTATTTTCATTAATTCCGTCTGGCTATGATGTGAGGCTTACTGGCCTCAGAGGAAGCTTACTCAGATGAAAGAACCTGAACATTTATACCTGAGGTTGGCAAATTCTGGTTTCCTCATACTGCAGGCTATTTTCAGTTTGTTCCCAGTGAACCCCCATTTAATTTAGCGTGATTGAGCTGTTGAACCCTGTAAGTCCCTGATTTTTTTCAACTGTGTTAAGTGCGAAACGAGTGCTGCTCAAGGAGTGCCTGTAAATGTGATGAATGAAAGTATAGAAGCAGCACTCTGCATAAATTCTGAGTGCTGGCCTGCTTGAAAGCTATGGAGCTCATGAAAATTATTATTATTACCTGAATGTGAAGTGTGATACAATATATCTTTGCAGATATTTTAAACCTGCGTAGTGATTATAGCGTAATGAGCTTACAAAGCTCAGGAAGTCAGATTTGTGAGGGGAAGGGTATTTGTAATATTTTGCGAGTTTTTATTTTTCCAGATGTATTTAACTAAAATGTACTTATTTTCGGCATGGTGACTCAGTGGGTAGCACTGTGGCTTCACACCTCCACGATTGCATATTTGTTCCCTACCTGGCTCCTTGCATGCTCTTCCTGTGTTCATATACATTTCCTCCCACGGCCGAAAGACATATTTAGGCAGATTTATGTTGCTGAGTTATTGGATGCGTGAGTGCTCTGTGATGGGTTGTCATCCCGCGTGGAGTGTCCCTGCCTCGTGCTTACTGCTCACTGTGACCCTGCATGATGGAAAATGGGTACCGGTAAATGGATATATTAAATTTCCACAGAAAAGAAAAACTTGTCCTTGTTACTATTATCTTCTGAGTTATATTTTAGACAGAAGCAATCAGTTCACTTTTTTGATATTGAATAGAAATATATAACAGAATTTTTATATTTAAATTGATAAGGATGGGGTTTATTTATTTGTTATATGTTTCGTTAAAGTGGTTTTGGGACACACAAATAGGTTAAAAATATTAGTCTTTGTACCGGTGTTACTTCCTTGATAAATGTTAATATAGTTATGTTTGTCCAATCAAACATTTCTAGAGAGATGGTGTTTTTGCAGTAATTTATGCTGTAAGTTTATATTTTGAAACTTTTATCGGGTGTTGTAAAATTGATTAAGAAAAAAATTGTGTAATTTTAAATTAGCATGAATCTGGGGGGAAAATAACATTTTGGTCAGTTCTGACTGAACATGTATGAATAATCGAAAGCTGTGCTTTTGAAAAAGATTTTGACAGGTGATGCAAGGGAATCCGCTGCTGCTGTTTTTCCTCATTCTGTAAAATGTGCATTTCCTCCAAGCCAGCAGGTGGTGCTCGTAATTTTTTTTTTGTTAATTTCACAAACAAATGATAAAATGCTCTCTCTGCAGAGTTCGCTTTGTCTCACTTGTATCTGTGTGTTTTTAAGATCCAAAATTGAATGGGGAAGCAGCTAAGGCGGCGCTGGCAAATGAAGACTGTCCTCATATAGACCAGGCCATATCCCCCGAGGATGGCCAGGTCTTTAGCCCGGGTGAGAGGAATGAGCCACCCTGTTTCTTGGTGTCCACGACCGAACGGCCCAGCCACACAGGAGGAAGAGTAAGGAAGGGTAAGTATAAAAGCCAAAATACAGCAAAAACACAAATCTTCCTCTTTTACAGGACATGAACCTGAGCAGAAACAGTAAACCGCTAAAAGCCACTGTAATAATGGGTTGGAATATGTGACGATCGCTTGCTCCTGTACCCTACACATTTTAAGTGACTCCTTCCAATTATACAAGCTTACAAAACTGTGTGTCACTCTCACTCAACCCCCACAGTGCCCAGCCACAGGGTGACCATTCTGGCCCCATCACCAGCCACCCACACTCACACAGTCAGCAATCTGGTTGGATGTGCTGTCACAGGGCACCCCAAGCTAGGCTGTCTACCCTGCACAGCTCTGCATTCTGGTTGGATGTGCTGTCACAGGGCACCCCAAGCTAGGCTGTCTACCCTGCACAGCTCTGCATTCTGGTTGGATGTGCTGTCACAGGGCACCCCAAGCTAGGCTGTCTACCCTGCACAGCTCTGCATTCTGGTTGGATGTGCTGTCACAGGGCACCCCAAGCTAGGCTGTCTACCCTGCACAGCTCTGCATTCTGGTTGGATGTGCTGTCACAGGGCACCCCAAGCTAGGCTGTCTACCCTGCACAGCTCTGCATTCTGGTTGGATGTTCAGTCTGCTATGACCCCCTCCACCGGGACCCCTCTGCATTGCCCTTCCTACCTCCTCTTCCCTGTCAGCCTCCTACTCATGCTATCCCACTCGACTTTAGGTTGAAAGACAAGCGCTCACGGAGATCTCACAGTCTGCCTCATTTAAGTCTAATTTGCTCATTTGTTTATGCATTTAAACAGCCTACAAGGAAAGCAGATCATACAGTTACATTTTTACAAGCATGATCACTTTTCCGTCTCACGTCTTCAGTCTTTTTCTAATCTTTCCTTCCATCCTATGAGAGGCAATTATCCAGGTCCCAGTAGAATCCTTCTGTTTTCCATCACGACAGATACTTATGGATTCCAGCTCTGGACTGATCGTAATCCTCGCTTTTTCTTTGTTGTTCGTTTGTTTTTCTTGTTCTCCCTTTTCTGTTTGTTTGTTTCTTTTTCCTACCATCCCCATACCCTCGCTGTGCTGTGCCTCACAGCCTGTCCCTCCTTGGGGCGGTCCCTGGGAGAGGGACCCCCCGCCCCCCCAGGTGTACCCTCTGCTGCAGCCAGGGTGGGTGCATTGCCAGGAGGACAGCTGTGCCAGGCTTAAACATTGAAGCCCCTCACACACCAGAGTAAGACTCCAGCCACCGGCACTGAAGCCCCTCCCACCACACAATGAAAATCTAACTACCAGTGCCCACTCTACTATGACGCTCTACAGTCAAGAAGCCCCACCTACAATACAGTGGCACTTTAACTACCACTGCTGAAGCCCCTCCCACAATACAGTAACACTCTGTTCACCACCACTGAAGCCCCTCCCACAATACAGTAACACTCTGGCCATAAGCACTGAAGCCCCTCCCACAATACAGTAACACTCTGGCTATAAGCACTGAAGCCCCACTAACACTAGAGTGACACTATAATGACCAGCACTGAAACGAATCTTATACTATGGTAACATTCTGTTCACCAGTGCTGAAGTCCCTCCCACATTATGGTAACACTCTGTTCACAAGCTCTGAAGCCCCTCCCACATTACAGTAACACTCTTCACCTGTGCTGAAGCCCCTCCCCCACTATAGTGACACTGTCCACCAGTGCTGTAGCCTCTCCCACACTACAGTGACACTCTATCTACCAGCATTGAAGCCCCTCCCACAATACAATGACACTTTAGCCACCAGCGCTGAAGCCCCTCCCACACTACAGTGACACTCTTCCCACCAGCGCTGAAGCCCCTCCCACACTACAGTAACACTCTTCTCACTAGCGCTGGCACTCCTCCCATACTACAATGACACTCTTCCCACCAACGCTGAAGCCCCTCCCACACTACAGTGACACTCCTCCCCCCAACGCTGAAGCCCCTCCCATCTCAGACTTGAGCACAGTAGGAAGGTAGTATTAATGATTGAGGTTTGCACGCACAGCTGGAGGATTCACACTCTCACAGCCACATCACTGCCAGCAATTAATTCTATTCACTGCTCAGAAGGACCTGTATTTATTTGACTATGACCTCCTGCTCACTGTGAAGTTTTCATGAATCAGTGAGGTCCTTTCTCCAGGATGGCTCCTCTGTGACCTTTTGGAGTTTACTTAGGGTTTCAGTAAGTCCACTAATTAACAAGAAGCAGCCGCACTCACCCAGCTGTGCTGTTCTGTCCTTATTTCAGTGCAGGACTCGATCCCAGAACAGTGCGCATCAGAAAGGATCATCGGTCCTTGTACTCTAAACATTGCATTATATGCTACAGGGTTCTAGACCTTTGGAGTATGTTTTTGTTGCACATCCCACTTCAGTCTGGCTGCCCAATTGCTCTCAGGGACCTGCACACTTTTTATTTTTTTGTCACTCATGACGCATTGTCCTGATCAAACACATACTCTTGGCTGACTGAACAATCCAGTTTTTTCAAAACCAAATGCCTTAGCTATGTGTCCTGTCCATGTATCATTTAAAGTTCACAATGACAATGAATTAATTAGACTCTCACCAAACCAGAAACTGAAAAAATAACATTTACTGTCAAGAGGTCAAAGGTCTATACTTGTAACAAAACAAATATTGCTCAAATGAAATGTGACACGCTGTTTTTTCCCCTGTATACATATATTTATGTACATATTTTATTGTGTCTATGGAAAGATGTATGTATTTTTGTGTGACACAGTATTTTTTCTGTTACTGCATGCTTTTGAATTGATTATGGGCCCAACACTGCATGACAACTACTGCAGGTAGGGGGCATTGGAATCGCAGTGGGTGGGCACACACTGGCTTTGCCCTGTCAGTGCCCCTTTTGCACACCCAGGTGGTCTTTTCCATCATTATAAATTTACTATTAAAAAATGAGTAGTTGGCAGCTGGATTTGTGACGGGTGACTTTCGATACCAGTGTTGTCCCCTCTCCACCACCCCCCTGCCCCCTGCGACCCCCTTTGCATGCTGAATGGATGTCAGACTGACACCGCATGAAGGACCATGGTTTTGAATTGGCTACAATGTCTGTCAGTGCGTAATCTGTAGCGCGAAAGCGAGGCCGTGGTCTATACAATACGCCCTTTCTGCTAGCTAAGCGCTCCCCCGCCCACCCTCCCGTACCTCAAGGTTACCCGAAGTCTCAGGGCCGTAAGAGCATGGCAGGCATGAAGCGCAAACACACATTGTTTCCGGTGTGTCCTCAGCCCTGTCCTGCAGCGTGGTCTGTCTACTCAGCCGGTTGTGTTCCCCATTGTTCTGCCAAAATGTCGTGGATCGACGGCGCAGAAGGGCCACTCTGGCCCAGGACCACCCTCATCCGCCTTCCCCGCACGGCGTCTAGTCCAGCTGTCTGTTTTCTTCTCTGTGGAGTCTTGGTTTCCTCCCTTGCCCCCTTATCTATGGATATATATGTTTGTTTATGGTCATCCCGAAATCCCCATTTAAGAACAACAAACACAGAGCGTCTACAGTAGATGGAAGAGGGACAGAGTGGAAGAAACGCTTCCCTTTGCTCTGGATCATGGAGGTCTCACACACTGTCACAAGCTTTACACAGTTACCTAAATCGAGCTATTAACATATTGTGTATATTAGGTGCTGTCTGAACAAACCAGATAATTCAGACAAAACCAAGCCACAAGCTTGACTTTTCAGATGAAAGAGTGGACTGTCATCTTATATACATCTGTACTTCAGAATCTTGTGCTTTTCCTTTCCAATCTGCGAAACCTCAGACATACACTCAGGCACTCAAACGGACCACCAAAAGCAGAAACTGCAGTCTCTTAACGCTATTAATTTTTCCACTGCTTCCTCTATCTAGTTCTGCTCTTACTGGTTCCCAGTTTTTGACGTTTTACCTCATATATTTCTGGAGCTGAGTCTCTTGCTGTACCTGTCCTTTCTGTGACTTCCCTACCTGTGCGTGGTGTGCCCGTCTGTGTGGCACTGGGCTTGGGCTTGCAGGTGATCGGGTGAGTGGCTCCCAGAATGCACTGCAACCTCTCATTCTTTACACCAGTGCCCTGCCCTCTATGTCTCATTCTCTCGGAATCTCTCTCTTTATGTCACCTGTCCTCTCTTTCTGCTCTATTTTTTTGGATTTTTTTATCGTTCCTTATATTTTTTTTTTTAAAGAAGTGTTTGCTACTCTGTTTTTTAACCCCTTCCACTTGTCTTGCTGTCTTGAACAAAACGACCCCTTTCGATGGCTGGCTGAAGCTGAGCATCACCCTGTATTTTTTACCACAGATCCCTGTAAGGAGGAGACCCTCCTCATTACATACAGGCAAGCTGAGGCTCTCACAGTAACCTGACCGGGGCCCCCTGTTGTCTAGAATCCGCTGCGCGGGTCTCATGATTCCACTATGACGTGGGGACACTAGCGGACTCTGAGCGGGCAGAGGGACCGAGGAGCATGGGAGCGAATCACGTGACGCACCACGCACCTCTCACTGAAAGACACGCCATCGATACGTTTCTTTTTTTCTCCAACGAGGGAAGATGAAGAACTGAGGAGCACAGTGATTTTCAGATGCGGACTAATACAGAAAGAGGATGGTAACATACTTTTCCTGAAGAGGATGGCAGAGAAAAAAATGGCGAAAAAAATTCATACAAGTAAAATAAGCAAAAGGTCAATAGCAACTGCTAACAAAATCAACAATAATACCTATATTATAATAGGATAAATAAGACTACAGAACTCTTGATTGTTTAGCATGAGCTGCATGGTAAATAATATAAAAGACAAGAACTGTAATTGTAATGTATATGTAAGAAAATATATTTTCCTTTCGAATTCCTTATCCTTTAAGATCTTACTTTTACAGACATTTAATGTAGCCAGAACACATGAAGGTACAGTGTACAGCTTTACTTTGACAGCCAACTTTTCAGGCGAATCGTCTTTTCATTAGGCGAAGTTATTTCGACGAGGCAGCTCTGATCACGCTGACACGACCTTTCGCTCCTTCTCCACGGAATGCGCGGATGACAAAAAAAGGAGGGAAGACCGTTTGTCGCGTGGTGTTCGAAACACAGGTCGACTTACACTACAGTGCATGCGTGTTACCCAAAAGGCAGCATGACACACCAGCTGGGCAACACGGCGAATCCCGTTTGCGTTCTTTCCTTGTCAGTGTTTGTAATTATTTATGTGTAGATCCCAGAGGAACTCTTCACTTTAATGAGACCCTGTTCATATCACACGTCCAATATGTACTTTTAACAGTATTATTTTTAGAAGAAGACAGGAAACAAAATATATATATATATATATATATATATATATATATTTAAAAAAAATGTCAGGGGGAGAACGAAAGCGTTTTTACCGTTCTTTCTGGCTTCAGACAAGTGAAAAATATATAAAAGCCGAAAAAAAACGCAAGAGCATTGTATGCAATTTAATACTATGAGCAAAGCGAATGCATGCACTGTTATGCAAAATTAGTAAATAAATAACAGAAGTTCTATAAAAAAAAGTTACGCATGAAATAAATTTTGTATCAAACCTGCATTGTGTCTTTTTTCATGGGATGTGCAAAGACATTTTTCCCTTTCTTCCCTTTGGTGGAAATGGCTCCTCTTTGACTGCGTGGCCGTGCGCTAACTGGGGTCAAAGAGCAGCTGATTGAAAGGAATGAAAAAGAGAAAAGGCACTGGAGGCCCAGGGGGCTGTGACTGGCAGAGCGACAGCATGGTGATGATGCAGCATGGCGATGACCTCACCCCATCTGCCTCTTACAGAGCATGGTCGCCCATCAGGCTAACCCAACCACATGCGTAGGTAGAGAATGCGGACTCACACATGCATGGGAGCAGACGGCGCTAACCAGGCCACATGTGTACGTAGAGAGTGCGATCTCACGCATGCATGGGAGCGGACGACGCTGACCTGACAACATGCATCAGGTAGAGAACGCAACCTCACACATGGAAGATTCCCTCCACATCGGGTACACATGCACGGGCAGGGAATTGCCACCTCACACGAGCATGGGAGAGGCTACTAAAACGTCAGGTGTAGGAATTACAGCCTCATGTGCAGACGACTGCCACCTGACACCATGCGCAGGCAGCGAATGTGATTCCGCACATGCATCGCAGCAGATGATGATGCAAGCCTGACCCCATGCATAGGCAGAAAATGCGATGTCGCACATGCATGGGGGCTGATGAGCCTTACTAACCTGAGCCCATGCGTAGGTAGAAAAATGCAGCATGCATGGGAGTACATGGTAAACCACATACTTACCATGGGAGAGCAGAGCACTTTTTTGTATTCTAGAGATTTGTGTCACTTTGCGTAACCCCCCCCCCCCCGCCCGCCCCCTGCCTTGCAGTTCCGAACGGCATCCATCATTCTCATCACTCCTCTTCCCTCCTGGTTGGATTATAACACTGTTGTTTGTTGTTGTTGTTTTCTTCTTCGTGTGTCTTTAGAGAAACAACGACTGGGCCGCCGCAGACCTCCCTCAGAGTCAGTGTGTGTAATGAACCATGGTGTCCCAACCACTATATGTATGACCAATGCCAACCCACCCCCCACCTGATTACGGTGTAGTGTGTTTGTGTGTGTAGATGAGCGTTGCCATGACGACGTGGACTGGCGAGCAGCGAGCTCGGTGTAGATGTTCCATCGATAAATTTTTGTTTTTTCCCGCCTCATTTTGCTTTATGCTCTGTACTTGTGCCTTGTTATAGTGGTAGTAATGTGCCTGTTTGTGCATATATGTGTGTGTCACTGCTATACATATGCTTCCTTTCTGCCTCCGCTGGCTGAAGCCCCGTGAGAGGAGTAGACGCGGATTTTACGCTGATGTTGCCGCATTCCCCGACGATAACAATCACTTTCACCATGAGTAACTGTGGAAACCGAACATGACATAGTGCTGTGCGTTCTCTTGTACTGTGATTGACACATCATAGTTGCCTTTTGCTATGTTTGCACCAGTGAACCCTGAAATACAGTAAAATGAAGGGCATGAGGTTTTTAGGGTGTGAGGCTATTTTGACGTACCAGGAGCTACCCACGGCATTTACAAACAAACGTGTCTTATTTTTAGAGATTGTAGCGATAATCTAAACAGATAGGGACCAAGAATATTGCCTGTAGCTAAATGAAAATAGGTGGAAAATATATTAGGAAGCTGTTACAGAACCCTTAAGGAAGATATCCAGACCTATATATAACTGACAAACCTTTAACTGCATTGAGAAATGACCAAATTAAAAGTAGGGCTAATTTACTCATTTTAGCAACATCGCCTCATAATGATGTTACTGCAGCCTGCGTAACATGAGTCAATCTAAGGTCTGCATTTCATGATGTAGCTATCTTTTTAAGACACAGGGGTAAAATTGCATAGAAAATATAATTAACTTGTTTACAGTATTAATGTGTAACCACATATGTTCGCACAAATTCGAGTAGGACATAAGCAGCGAAGGACACTCCTTACACTGTTTGCTGGAGATTTTGCAGAATGGCTAATGCAATGTATAGTTTGTCTTTTAGACTTCATTATTTCTTCCTTTCATATGTAGTTTTAAGATGTATTAGATTTAAATGCTGTTCTTTATTTTTCTAGAAAAATAATTTCACAGTGCCACATTCCACAATAGTCTCTAAGAGGGTGTAGCCTTCCTCAATTAAAAGGGGTGGTGTCTCAGTCTTGGGATGGTACGGCTTGCCTCTCTTAGTGATTGCAGCCTCCTGCTATTGGAAGGTGTGGCCTTCCCCTTTAAATGGGTGTGGCCTGGTTATCTGCAGAAGCAAGATCACTGCCTATCTGTCTTTGTGCTCCTCAACATCCTCTGTTCAGTTGATGTTTTTATCTTGCCTGAATCTAGCTTGGTTGAATTAGGTACTATATTGAGTAGTGATGTACTGTTGTTCGGTAAATTTTGTCTCACATGTTTGAGTTCAGCATTTTAAATGCTGCGTAACTGTATTCAGTGAAGTAGAGTAAGACATGCTTGGGATAAAAGCATGAGTGAATAAAACAAGTGGTGCAATATATTTAGGTTAATAGCAGTTAAAAGTTTTCTTGCCGCGCACATAAATTTACACTCGACACCAACAGCCTGTCACTGCCATGATACAGCAATGGACATCTAAGCAAATGCGTGTGGTTACTTACTTTTGACTTTGTATAGGGGTACTTAATAGAAGTCTGCAGTGTCTGATAATACACTGCAATCTTCCCAGGGAGAAATGAGATCAACATGATGCACTGGGGTCTAATTCAAAGCATAGCTCCCATTGGTAGGGGATTTGATTTCATCACAGGTTACTCTCACTGTTCTTGGATAGTTTGCCTGACACAGCAGAGATATTGGGTGATTGGAGCTCAGGACTGGTACCTAACAGTGAAAAAATGCCAAGTTTATGAAAGGTCATTTGACAGAATGCTGGACTGTTCTTGTAAATTTTCAAAAAGCCAATTCAGTAACCAATACTTTCCTCATTGATCCTGGACCATGATCTAAACAAAGCTACTGTAGAAACACTGCCACTCTGACGACAGTCAGATGTCTCCACTTCCCCAGCTAATCCCAACACACACGTGACCAAAGGCAGGGAACGTGGATCAGAGCACAAACACATCGCGGAATCCACCCGGGTTTTAATTGCCGGTCGAGTAGGGTGCCATCCACGAAGCCATGGATCATCTGCTAGCTAATAAAACTATGGCAAGAGGAGGAGCATGATTATGTTTGTTCAGTGGAGTGTGCACAAATCCAGGTGCTTCTATATCCGTGGTTTGTATTGATTTCCTTGGCCCACGATGCATTTTTCTGTCATTTCCTCTATGATTCCAATAATGGCTTAAATATGAATAAATGCAAAAATGTATAAAATCCAAATGCTTTGCACTGTGCTTGATTTAGAAATGAAACAGTCATTTACATTTTATTTGATTTTGTTTAAATTTGCAGGTCTCTTTCAGCTTTTTAATAACATACATAAACATGCATTTTGATAATTCAGTATGATTCTGAAGATTTACTTATGAAATGTTTATTTCTGTTAAGTTATTTCTAACTTTGTAAATTTGCGTCCAGCTGTGTTTTACCTGTCCTGACCTACATCACGGATCCACACAAGTTGACAAATATGCCCCAACAAGGCAGCATTCATTTATTTTAGTTCTTCTTTGATTATAAAAATCTGGGAGGCCAAAAGCTGCTACGAAACTCACAAAATTTTGCCTTTGAAAGTAAAACAACAAAAAAATAGAATTTTTGTGGAATTCCTAGAACGCGTATCATCACTTGGGTGACTTTTCAAATGTTTTAATAGTCTGTCAGTGTTCTTTGTTTTAAAGAAAACGTCAATTACCTGTAGATGAAATATCATTTCCTTTGGATATGTAGGAAAGTTGTGATAAATTGAGACTATGACGATATTTTGTTCCTAATTCAACTCTTGGATGAGACTGCCATAGCGTCTCATGATGGGCAATTGAGTTAAGTGCTCACTAATAATTGCATTTAGTTCTGAATGCTATAGATAATGGGGGTGGCACAGTGGTTAGCACTGTTGCCCCACACCTCTGGGAGCAGGGTTTATGGCTCCGTGTGTGGGGTTTGCATATTCTCCTTGTGTCATTGTGAGGTTTTCCCCACAGTCCAACAACATGCTGAGGTTGAGTGGAGTTAGCAAACTGTGATTGTGAGTGTGCCCTCCTGTGATTGGTTGGTGCCTGGGTTATTGTGAGTGTGCCCTCCTGTGATTGGTTGGTGCCTGGGTTATTGTGAATGTGCCCTCCTGTGATTGGTTGGGTTATTCCCTGTCTTGTGCCCATAGGCTCTGGGCCTTGACTCTGAACAGATGATGGATGGATGGAAGCCAAGCAATGTTAACAACCGCAATAATACAGTGTTTAGCAAAATCATAGGTGATCCCTTATCTTAGTTGCATTTATTCTTACTGTGATCGTCCCAAGTATATCTCTGTTGTTTAACTCAATCGAACATTTATTTTTCAGTCTCTTATTTCATTTTCTATTGTCTTCCTGAAGGAGGCAATAGCTGTATTGCGAGTTATACGTAATTTATGCTTGCATCTAGTATCATAACTCCACACACTATGATGAGATATAGAGACAGACTGAAACAAAATTTTATATTCCTCAGGCACTGGAATTCTTCCTCATAATAGATTTCATTTCAGATTTCTTCAACCACACATTTGCTCCTTGTATGTGAAGCATCAGACTATTAGTAAGACATCCTGTATTGTGACGCATGCAAAAATTATGATGCTTAAAGTTTTCTTAGGGTGTTGATTTTTGGTACTATTTAGCATCAAATATAAAAATAAAGAAACTTACAAATTGTGTAGTATTTATGTCCTGTTGTCATATCCCTGATTTTGTGGAAGCGTCATTAGCAGTGTTATTTTGGGATATGTTCTGATGTCATAAAACACTGCCCACTGGTCACACACACACACACATACACACATGTAGGGTAAACATATCCTTATGGGGACCGCTCATTCATTTCAATGGGAAAAATGCTAACGCTAACTATGACAACCTTAACCCCCACCCAGCCCTAACCATAACCATAAGTAACCTTATGGTTACCTATAACCGGTCCCCATAAGGGAAAAAAACCGGATATTTATCACGTTATGGGGACATTGTGTCCCCATAAGGATTGGTAAACCCGCTCACACACACACACACACACACACACAAGGTGTCTCCCAGTTCCCAAAAACTGCGGAACAGCAAGTCTTTCTGAAGTTTCTTGAAAAGATTAAAATTAACTTTCTGACTGTTGACTTTGGGACATTCGCTTGTTTTTCACAAACCATTTTATGTCTCAGGATCACTGTCAAAAGAGCACTGAACAGTGCTCTGTACAGTGTACAGTGTAGGTCTACTGCTCAGCTCGCCCCTTGGCATTTATACTAGGAAGTCCCACTTTGATCTCACTATACCACTTTTTTCCAGAAACTGGCAATTTGTTTCAGACCTAATGCCCATTCGGAGACCATATTTTTAGTAATGGCTCATAATGCAGACTACAGTGAATCTTTGTCTGACATACAATCACTGGATTGTGTGAGTGTTCCCCAAAAGCTCCAGTGGTTTGACCAAACAAGAAGCCTAATTTATCAACTGAGTAAAAGCAAAATATAAAATGCCAAACTTTTAAATTACTATGAAACGATGAAAACAACAATGAAAAGGTGCAGTTTTACACTGGTGCAAACTCTTGCTAAACAAGGCCCTTCAGAATATATTTTGTTCCATTTCATTTTGTTCATGTTCAAAAAATGTTATTGTAATGCATTCAGCAACAGGAGAGTGGATTAATGGTGTTCACACATAGCCATTCCACATCACAAGTAAAATACAGTCAAACAATAATATAAAACTAGTCAAGCTAATTAGCCGTAGGTCAGGTGATTTATATTCTGAATAAGAAAAGGGCACGATGATCATGCTCCTGTCCTTAAAACCATCTTAAATATAGCAAGGAAAATAATAATACACATTTGTTATTTTTAATATGCAGGGATAGTACAGTAGTTGCAGCCCACTGTTTATAAAACCACTTTAGTTTTCTGATTTTTTGCAACTCGGTATGAATTTTTTCATTCTTACCTGGTTTGCTACAATTTTAGTTGACTGGAACAGAGGCTATTACTGAATAACATATAAAAACATGTCATATATCACAAAAAACAGATGACAGTGATTTAAAAGATCACAATAATAAAGCCAATCGCCATTTAGAAGTCACATATTTATTTATTTTTATGTTTGTCCTTTGTGAAGAATTTTATTTTTTTTTTGCTGCGAAAGTGCTAATAAAACATAGAAAATGCACAAATGCTTTGTCGCCATGAGGAAATACATATTGTACTGCACATCATTTCCAGCCTCATCCACTAAACCCTCATAAATCTTTTACATGGTTGTATTTGGCCTTACAGTTGCATCCTCACCATTGTACTCCTTGATGACCTTAGCCAATATATATATTGATTTATCAATTTCTCTACATACTTGGAAATGGATACTATGGTAAGATGAGGTAATAATATATGTAGCAATAACAAATGAAGTGGATAAGCTGAAGCTACATTGTAATTGCAGAAAAATATGAAAGTGAATTTCCTTATTTGAATCCTATAAACGGACTGAACCCTAAAGATTTTGAAAGATCCAGGGGCAATATACAAGTCAGAATGTGGTTCTGTCAAGTAAACAATCTGAGAAAATGGATTTTAAAATGAATTTAAACCTCTGATTTGAATATTGTAAATACAATGTGGGACCAAAAAATGAATATATTTTAATTACATTGTATTTTACTGCTATCTGGTCAAATGGAGTCTAGTTACGTCACCAGGACATGTGATGTCCTTTTCTGTTTTTTTTTTTTATACTGGAATTAGGAATGTTGATGTATATATGGATATCTAAAATTATCACAATCCATTTAGCTAAACATACTTTTGTACATCTCACAGCTGGCCAGCAGGGTTGCCATGGAAACCAGCTGCACGTCAGGCAACATGCAGCTATGAAAAGCTGAAATATATGCCGATGTTGACACGCTATAATTCCGAAATTTCAGAAGCAGCAGCACTGTGCATGTGAGCTGCTCAACATTTCTCAAGAACCACAAAGAATAATTGCAGCAGGGATGTAAACATGGTGATAGCTTTCAGAGAAGCACAGATGCCTAAAGAAGACTGGTGCCTCACTCCCAGCAGCACACATGCAGAGCTACACTGCACGCCTTAGCACTGCAGCATTTAACCACTGCATATGGGTAGTCTTTTAACCACAACAAACGGGCATGATGAAATCTCAGACTCCTCTAGGTCAATGTTTCCTAACCCAGTCCTTGGGGACCCCAGCCTGTCCACATTTTTGCTCCCTCTCAGCTCCCGGTAGGGGAGGGAGCAAAAACATGAACTGGCTGGGGGTCCCCAAGGACCAGTCACCCCCCCAATAAACAGACCTTTCTATTTAAATGATGAAGTGACATGGCCCCCAATCTCAAACTCTCTTCTACGCCATTGGTTAGGATTGTTTGTGAAATCATAATTCACAGTAATTGATATGTTTGAATGTTTCCTTTATACAAAGTCACATTATTTAGCAAAGTGCAAAATGCAGTTGCAACTGGTGAAATTTCAGGAAAGCATTTTTGTCAATTTGTAGAATGACAGGAATGTAGTCATTTTAGTAAACAAGTGTTTCAGTTCAGGTCAGTTTGTGTCTCTGAATTGCCCTTTGTATGATGCTGAGCGATGTAAATGTATGTAATTGTCCTGATATGTACAGGCTTGGCAGCTGATGTGGTCTAATGCCATAAACTCAAAACCAATATTAACCTATTAGAATAAATAACTATAGAAAATGTATGGAGAATAACCAGGAATAACCTCACATTATGGTAAAGTCCACATTAATATCCATCTGATTATATGCATTAGTGGGTATATGTATATAAAGCGTGTGTTTGATTGTGTCTCTGTGGAAGTCTGAGTGTGCTGTGTTTGTTATTGGTGTATAGATGCAATACATGAGGTTACAAAAAGACGATAATGGGGTTTGGTGAGCAGTCCCCTCCCCCGCCTCTTGTTTCCTACTGTATGTACATTTGTACAGTTGTGCAGTTGGTGGATCAAAGTTGCCACAACATCCTGAGACCCAACCATACGCATAAATTTTCACGTCCCATTTTATTTTCTCGCTGAAGCAGCAGTTGTCTTCATTGCAGTTGGATGCCTTTAGCTCAGTCTCTGCATCTGTACATGATCCCCGTTTAACCCCGAAAAGACCCTTCGGGCTCAACTCCAGGACAGAACCACATGACATGGAGAATTTTGG